ATTCTCCTGCCTCAGCCTCCCGAGTAGCTGAGACTACGTGCCACCACTCCCAGCTATTTTATTTTTTTATTTTTTAATTTTTTAGTAGAGACGGGGTTTCACCATGTTGGCCAGGATTGTCTCTATCTCTTGACCTCATGATCCACCTGCCTTGGCCTCCCGAAGTGCTGGGATTACAGGCGTGAGCCACCGTGCCCAGCCCAGGGGTGTATGTTTTTAACAAATGCTGTCGAGTGACTGACTGATGCAGTTCAGGAAAGGGACTAGAGTGGCCTCAGGCTGGTCGCAGTTAGTTCCTGTAGCTTTGGGTATCCAGTCTACCGGGCCATGAAGAGCAATGGAAATGTAATCTAACATGGTGCATAGATGGCAGGAAGCGTGGTCCAGCTGCTAGGACTCTGCTCCTAATGAGAACTTTGCACAACTCCTCTCTTAGACCTTACCCTACATATAAAGCACTAACTCAGGATCCTAGAGGTGAAGGCATGAATATATGTGATATGTCCAGCTGCCTTGGTGTTCTCATGTGTTGAATAAGAAATATGCCTGTCTCCTGCTGAATAAAAATGCAGTGTATAGTCTGTAGATCAATGCCAGGGATTCTGTAAACATATAATTATGCCCTTTTATTTTAAAGGATATTAATTTATCCTACATAACCTGAAAAAATGAAGATACTAAGCCAGGTTGGGAGGGGTGCAGCAGGGAGGAACAGCCAGTCACCAAAACTTGATTCGTGGCAAAGTGAGCAACTACCAAAAAAAGGGAACAATTTTTGTTACTTCTTTTTGGGCAGCTGTCACATTAAACATTATTTGATGTTCCCTGTAATAGTGGTAATCGACAGATACCTACATGTTACAGGATAGTGTCCAATTGGATAATTCATATCTTATTAAGATGAAAATATAACTCATTAATGCAAATGAAACTGCATGGGTGCTTGAAGAAAAGACCAACTTTGCAATTAAGTTGCTAGTGTATTAAAAAAAAAAAACTCCCTATACTACCCAGAGAGCTGCCTGATGACCTAGTTCACATACTATGGAACTGTGGAGTATTTTTGGTAGAATCTCAAAATTATATTAAAG